ATTTGATTGGTTCTTTTTTTTTTTTTTAAACTGGGTATTGAACTCAGGACCTTGTTTGCAAGGCAGGTGAGGCACCACTGAGCTAAATTCCCAGCCCTTGATTAGTTCTTTTATGATCTCCATCTGTTTGCTGAATTTCTCATTATATCAAAAATTGTCTTCCTAATTTTGAACTGTCTGCATTCTCTTGTGTCTCACTAAGGTTCCTTAAATCATGCTTTTAAATTCTTTGTCAGGCCATTTGTTGATTTCCTTTTTCTTGTGGTTTGTTGCTAGTTATTGTGTTCCTTTGCAGGTGTCATGTTACTTTTTCTTATGCTTGTTTCCCTGTGTTGATTTTTGTGCATCTGGTGGGTCAGTTGCTTCTATCAATTTTGTATGATGACTTTAATAGTAAAAGACTTTGTTAGTGATGTGTCCTAGGATGTTGGTTGAATATGCTGCATTGGCTTTGATTCTATCCAAGTGGGTACTTTAGTGTAGTGTCTATACAGCTTCCTCAGCTGTAGTCAACGTTGAGAATGTCTATGGATATTTTGGCAACTTAGCTTTCAAGGGTTATGGAATTGTACCACCAGAAAAGATGTAGCTCTCTTAGGCAGGACACATTCACTGACAGCTCTGGGGATGGTGCATCTGGCTGCAAAGGTGGAGTGCCTGTCAATTTCTAAAAGTTATGTGAGGGTAAGGCCACCCTGTTAGGCTCAGGTAGCTATGATTTGGTAGCATGCTAGGTAGGGGTTGGGATGTCTGTTGTTGACTGAGGGCCACATGGGGGCTGTCCTATACTAGTGTGTCCAGATAGGGTACCTGTCAATATCTGAGGGCTGCATGGGATGTCTAGGGGCTAACATGTTCAGGGAGTTCTACCCAGCTTCTTTCCAGGGCTGGGAATGTGGGCAGGGCTGAGTTTGAGAATGGGCAGTTCAGCTTCTTGGGGTGAGTAGGATGCCAGGTTTCTTGCTGGGGACCTCAGTGGGCCACACCACTCAGGAAAGCCTGCTATATTATTTCCCAGGATCATGGGTACGTGTGCAGAACAACTTATCTCCTCTGTGCTGAGCTGCTAGGGGGAGCTGTGTTATGCAGCCAAGGGTATGGAGTGTAGGCTGGGTCTTCTGGCTACTTTTGGGACAGCCAGAGAGTGTTTGAGACCACCTGACTCTTCTGAGGATCTCTAAAGGATAAGCTGCTCAGTGCTGGCTGGCCATATTCTTCTGGGGTGATAGAAGGTGGGCAGGGCCACCTGACTGGTTTACAGGGGTGGGTTGGTAGAGCTATTGGGGGCGGCTACCATGCTACTTCACAGGATCTTGGATGGGTGAAGCCTCAAGTTGGACCCATGCAGCAAAAACCTGGGTGAAGGTGGACACTGTGGACTGAGCTCTTTCTGTGGGGGCAATTTGATGGTGTGAAAATTCAGCAGCCCTCTAAACTGGGCTCAGAGCCTGTAGAAGGCTGAAGAGGTTTTCTAGCAGTAAATATCTCAGTTGTTTGTGCTGTTAGTAGGGATAGCCAGGAGCCTCCCTTACTGCATGACTAAAGCCCTTGTTTCAGGGCTAATTTCCAGAGACAGAATGGTAGATGCAGTGTGCTTAGTACCCCCCCGCCCCTTTAAGGACATTGTATGTGTCTGTGCTCTGCAGTGTCTAGTCCTGTTCTCACTTTCCAGCTTCACTCCCCAGAGGGTAGACTCTTCTTTCAAGCTGTACTTCCAGAGGTTGGGGAGGAATGGAAGAGCAGGCTCAGTCTGCTGGTACTCAGGTAGGGGGAAGGTGATCTAGAGTGCTGTCCAGTGCTGGATTCCACTGTGGTGGGCCCTGGGTTGGATTTCAAGTCGAAGACCTGGACTTAATTCTCTCTACCTCCCCAAAGTAGGAGGCTGTCTAGCCAAACTGTGCTGCTTAGAGTGTTGGGGAAAGGGTGATGCAGGCATCTCTTTTCTTCCTGGCTTCTTCAAAAGATCTTTTCTTATACTAAAACTAAGTTTCCTACTTGACTTCCCACATCTTGTATAGATCAATTAGAGCATGAATTGCTGCTCAAATGGGAGCTGCTCCACCTTTTAATATCTCATTGTGGCTTTAATATTCATGCCCACGATGGCTAGTGATGTTGAACATCTTTTCATGTGTTTATTTGCCATCAGTATATCCTCTGTATATCTTCAGGTCCTTTTATAATTGTATTGTTTTTAATTGTTTTGAGTTCATTTATCTATATACTATACTGGTACTGTGTGAGGTGTATAGTTTGAAAATATTTTCTTCCATTTTGTGTGTGTCTTTTTATCTTCTTAATAGAGCCACAGTGCAAAAGTTTTAATTATAGTGAAGTCCAATTCATTACTCTTTTCTTTCACATGATTTAATATTGAGTTTAAGATCTCTTTACCTAGGCTTAGATCCTAAAGATTGTGTTTTTCCTCCCTAAAGTGTTATTAGTTTTGTTTTATACTTAAGTTCCATCCATTTTAAATTAAAATTTTTTTTTAAGTTTTAAAAATTTTTGTGTGAGGTATGCAACTTAGATTGCAATGACTTTTTTTTTCTTTTTTTTGCTTATGTTTATTCACTTGCTCCAGGACCATGTGTTGAAAAGGCTACCTGTGGATCTACTTCTGTTTCATATATAATGCCCAAGAATTTTAGTTATAACCTTGTGAAAGGAGTAAGGAAGAATGTGTGGAATTCCATGTACTACTTTTGAAATTAAAAATGATTCTTCAATTTTTTTGTGTGAAAGGGTTCTTCTCTCTAATGGTAAAATATGATTTCTGTATCTACTGAAGCTTTCTTATACTTTTTGTGGTCAATGGGCTATACATGTGCACGTGTTTGCAAACAAAGTAATTCCTTAAAGATAACTAGTATCTCAAATATTTATAAAGAAACTTACTATTGATTTGATTCAGCAGTAAATAGATATAGTGCAGTAGGAGATGAACATGATCCTTTCATTGGACCTGTAGCGCTGCCATTAAGAAGCATGGGCTTACTAAAAGCTTGAAGCTGTTAGTGTATTAATGGAAATTGGATGGAGGGCCCAAAGAGTCAGCCCGGAAATTAATAGGATCATATTCTGGTAGATGCCTTGTTCAGCCAAGAATAAGGAATATAGAAGAAAGATTTCTAATTTCTGCACTTATTTTTCTTTGCTGCCTTCTCCCAGAGGCCCTGTATTCTTGGCCTAACTATTCTTTATAGTCTGGTGTGTCTAGTTAATTAATTTTTGCTTTCTGGGAAATATATTTCATAATTTATGTGAGTAGCTAAAAATGTTTTTGAGGATGCACACCGAATATTAATGAAATCAAATTAAGACCTTCTCAAAGTATTGGTCTTCCAGCTTGTATGGTCCCTATATATATATTGGTTTGAGGTGTACTTTAAGAACTCCCAGTTCATGGAGGAAACAGGAGAACAGCTACCTCATAGCCCACTCCTATGGGCAATTACCATGGTATCTGTGTTATGAAAGCAGCAGGTGCTTTAAAGTGAAAAGGTAACTAATGAGATGATTTTTTTTTTGGTACTAGGGATTGAACTCGGGACCTTGCGCTTTCGAGGCAGGCGGCGGTGGAACCACTGAGCTAAATCCCCAGCCCTTAATGAGGTGATTTTTTTTTTTGGTACTGGGGATCGAACTGGGGTCCTTGGGCGTGCACAGCAGGCGGCGAAACCATTGAGCTAAATCCCCAGCCCCGAGGTGATTTTTTTAAGGCTGACATATTTGGTACTTAGCCTGATGGTTAATACAGAGTCCACCAAAAAATGTTTACACACTTCAGGAAAAGAAAAACTTGTCTCAATAAATTTAGCATTAAAATATTTATACATGATGAGATTAATACAAGTTACCTTTGGCCTCTACAATTACAAAAGGTGCTCAAAGTGGTGACCATTAGCTTCCAGACATTTATTAGTACTTCAAATTGCTACTTGGGTAACCTTGGTCATTGAGATTGCTACACATGCATTTTCCATTTCTTCTCCAAGGGCCAGCAGTGTAGTGGGTTTTCTGCATTGTACAGAATCCTCTAGGGTCCCCCATACAAGGGTAACAACATATACTGAAAAAAATCATACTATTTTTCTCTTCCTGAAGTGCGTATACATTTTTTGGTGAATCTTGTATAACTTTTTTTTTTTGCACTGGGGATTGAACTCGGGACCTTGAGGTTACAAGGCAGGCAGCAGAACCACTGAGCTAAATCCCCAGCCCTCTTGTATAACTATTTAAATTGAACTAAACTAAGTGACCAACTGCTAGCAACAAAGAAATCAGAATTCAATGTCCTTGTAAGGTGGAAGAAATGGAGGAGTTAAATGTGGTGAGTTGATCATAAGCAGATATTATTTATGGCTTGATTTAAAAATCTTTGTTAAAACAATTGTAAATCTTGTCATGTTACCTCAAGTGTTTTTATTTCAACTTATTTTCTCTAATTTACCATTACTGTTTTGATTGGCTGGATATTAAGCTAAATTCTTGGCCACATATGGGTATCTCTTAATTGTGACAAAAGACCTGCAAAGTGAATGAGGTGAATACTGAATTCACTGGTTAGGTATTGTTCATCAGTTACCCAAATAATGTTTGTGTAAAGTTTTAATTCTTTACTAGCCTTCCTTCCTTCCATTGCTGAGCCTTATTAACAGTTGTTATATTCAAAGTTGTTATATTCAAATATATATATATATTCCTCATGTTTATATTGAAGCACAATAAAAAGTTAATTACCATAGGAGAGACTTGGATGGCAGGCATTGGAATTATAACCCAAGAAAGTTTTGATGTGGAGTTTGTGTTTGAATTTTTTTTTTTACATTAAATTCATGGTGGCGGTATTCTGGTTTTCCTTCAACTCGCCCCTCCAAGCTTCAGTTTCAGATGACTTTTTATCTTTGAGGTATTTCAACCAAGGCCTCTAAAGAATATTTTGTCTGTCACATGGCTTATACATATTTTAAGTATTGTCATTCAGATCCTCAAATGTTGTGCAAATGTATCCAATATCTACTTCATCTGATTCAGTAATAGTTTTAGATAAGCTAGGATGATTATTTACACAAATTTTATATTTTCTGAAAGAGGTGAGTCAATAGCTTTAATAAGTATTTTAATGAAATATGAGGTCTAATAGTCTCCTCTAGTCACAGTGAAACTATTGGCAGGTTCCTTATCTTCTCTTGCAAACATTAGCTCCTATTACATATATACCCAAGACTATAAAATAGATTTATGTCATTTATTTATGAATAATAAACATTTTCAAGAATTCATTTTAGCTTCTTCCCATGTATTGATACATTTAGCCTCTTAATCATGCAGGCTAAGGTGAGATCACCATTTTGTTTCTAGATCTAAAAATAAAACAGAAAAAGATTATGTAGTTATTTTTATTAAGTCTCAAAGTGAGGAAAAATGGTTATTTGTAAGAATCAATAAGAAAATAGGCAATTGAATAAAATATGGGTAAAAGACTTGAATAGGCAGTTTACCAAGGAAGATATTCAAATGTGTATAAATATAAATGATGCTGAATTTCACTTATCGGGAAATGCAAATTAAAATTAAGCAACACACCATATACCCAGAAGCATGGATAAAGTATAAAAGATGTAAAATAGTAAGTATTGAGGCAGATGAAAAACAACCAGAACCCGTCTTCCTTACTTAGGGGTAGTATACAATTATGCAATCACTTCGGACTTCTAGTTGGTAATAGCTATTAAAGCTGAATATATTCAGTTCCTAAAACTCAGAATTTCTAGTCCTAAGTACATACCTAACTAGGTATGATTGCACATGGTCCTAAGAAGGTGTGCAATACTAAATGTAATAATCCCATACTGGAAAATATCTACAGAAAATATCCACATACACATCAATGGTAGAATGAATATGTGAATTGTGATATAGCCATCCAATGAAGCATGCTACAGCAGAAAATGAAATTATAACTACATGCAGCAATATGGATTAATCTCACAAAGTTGAGCAAAAGAAGCCAGTCATGTTTTATGATTGTATTTCTATTCATTGAAAAAGCAAAAACAGTGATGTTTGAAGTCACGGTTCTTCTGGAAGCTATTTATTTCTTGATTTTGGTGATATGGGATTGGAAACATTGGACAGTTCAAGTGTATATTTATGATTCACTCACTTTTAAAGATGTGTTATTCTTTAATAAAATTTGAAAATTAGTTTTTATCCTATCCATGGTGATGATTTTTCATGAAATAGGTTAGAGGCGAGAACTGGAGTCAGTGCTCAGTTCTTTTGGTTGTCAATTTTTTTTTTTTTTTGGTACTGGGGATCGAACTCAGGTCCTTGCATTTGTGCAGCAGGCAGTGAAACCACTGAGCTAAATCCCTGGCCCTTGGTTGTCAATTTTTGATCTTGATCTCAATGTTTAACATAGTACACCCCACTGTATGAGGAAAACAAAGATTTTGAGGGTTCTCTTTACTAATATTCCATCAATGTTACAAAACATTGGTGTTGGTGGCTTGGAATGAAACATTTGTTGGCTGTTAAAGATACAATATTTTAAATATCTGATTAAAAACAACCCTTTTGTAAATCAGCAGTAGGTACTATTATTAGGTAATGGAAGACACATGAGTGAGAAGGCAGTGTATTCAAGTTCTAGCTGCATTTTGTTTTCTAGTTGGGTAAATGGGGGCAAGTTAGAGCCTCAGTTCCTTCTTTCTATCATTAATATTTTACCTAACCAAAGGTGGGAGGATGAACTTTATGATCTCTTGGGTCCTTTTTAACTAAGATCTAAGAACCACCATCAATGGGTACTGGAAAGATTCTTAAATACAGTGGACCCTTCACTTAAAAATTTAATTCATTCACGAGGGCTGGTTGTAACTCAAGAGGCTCAGGCTCCTCTACACAGTCTTCAGAATCTCTCTCCTGTATAATTTTAGGCCACACTTTCTTCCAGGCGATCTCAGTATCCTTGGAGAGACTTTGGCTCAGGATTTTTCAACCCCACACAGGAAAGGATGTTGTAATGTTCCTTCTGGAACACTTTAAGGGTTAAATCTGTATCTGAGACCATCTGGAAGCACAAGCAGCCGACATTCAGGTCATAACTCAAGACTTTGGTTGTAAGTTAAAACTAAAAGTCTGGTCCTAACCCAAGTTGTTCGTATGTCAGGTTAGTCATAACTTGAAGGTCCACTGTAAACTGATATAACTTATTCGTACTACCACTTATTCCCACTTTTCTTTTCTGCTGTTATGCTTAATTATAAACATAGTTCCAAACACTCACTAATAAATTTCAAGGTATATAGTGAAGTATAATTTTAAGGCTGTGAATCATCCAGTTATCTTACCTTATCTTCACCCCCAAATTGATCTCTTGATATTCCTAGAATTTGTTGCTCTGATGCAAGGATGCTTTTCAGGAAATGTTCCATATTGGTGAAAAAGAGAAGATCTTTGTTTTTCTCAATGTACTGTAGAGAGTGTGGAGACAGTTAATAGTCTTGCTCTTATTTCCTTTAAGTATCCTTAGATCTATTTAGCCATATGGACCTAAGAATATGTTTCTACTTTTAAAATAAAGTGAGAACTCTTCATTGATGGTGACTGGCAGATGACTAACATTCTAGCTTCACAGTTATCTCTGTGATTTAAACAAGTTGTTTTGAACATTCAGGTCTCTGTTTTCTCATCTATAAATTAGGGCTAAAAATGCTATCTATCTTAAAAGAGGATGGGGAAAATTTAATGCAATAATGGATGTAAAACTCTTAGCATAATATCTGGCATGTGACATGCATATAATAAGTGTTTTCTATTACTTGTCTTAGAGTTGGCTCCAGCACATTGTAATATTTCAGTACATAACATCAGGGTCCATATAAATGTATTTACTTATTAATACAGAAAACACACCTAAAGTCTGCTATGAATCTGGCTACATCAGAAAACAAAACCAACCACTGTCTCTCCCCTCAGAGTAGGGGATATATTAGCTTTTCAGGTTGCTGAAACCCAATACCCAACAGCCACAACTTAAAGGAAGAAAGGAATAATTTAGTTTACATTTTCAGGAGATTCAGTACATGGTTGGCAGACCCCAAGGCAGAAACCTCATTGTGGAAGGGCACAGCAGAGCAAAAGTGCTTAGTTAATGGAAGCAGAGAAGGGGAACAGTGCCAGAGAGGAATGCTTGAGGCACTATATATAGTACCCAAGGCCATACCTTCATGATCTACCCAGACACACCAGTGTGCTTTACTCATTTGCTAAGTGTTTCTTAATCTAATGAAATTGACATATCAGGATTAATGGTCATACAGGGGAAAGGAAATAAAAAACTGCAAGTGCAAGTAAGTAAATTTTGTAATATTCTGGGAGGTGATATAGGAAAGAGAGAACTATAGTAGAGTAAGGAAAGCTGTTGAGTTTGGGTAAAGAGAGTTGCATAATAAGATAGGATAGCCAGGGTAAACCTAATTGAGAAGATGACATTTGAGCAAAGACATGAAGGATGTGAGGGGTGTACTTTAACTCATTAGACCAGGGTTTCTCAATATCAGCACCACTGACATTTTGGGATGGATAAATCTTTGTTGTAAGGGCTACCCTATGCATTGTAGGCTATTTAGTAGCATCCCTGTCCTCTATAGTCTAGCTGTCAGTAGCAGCCTTTTCTTCATGATTGAGTCATGGCAATCAAGAACGTTGCTAAATGTCCCTTGTGGAACTAAATAACTTTGGTTGGGAGCCACTGTCTTACTGATTTTCTTTTGATTTGAGGTATGTTTATGTTGCTCAAGTGGTATCAAATTGGGTTCAAGTGATACTCCCAACCTCAGCCTTACAAGTAGCCTAGACTACAGGTGTGTGCCACATACCTGGCTGAGAACCATTGCCTTAGGTAGAAGGAACCCATTAAAAAGGAGACCATCCAGTGTTTTCGAAGGGAAGGAAGGAAGAAACTGTGAAGTTGAATAAATGAAGAGTAGTAGGTGAGAAAAAAGAGGGTTGTTGGTTTAATTTTTACTCTGAGTGAAGTGAGCCCCAGGAAGATTTTTGAGCAGATCTGATTTTCATTTAAAAGGATCATTCTGACTTCTGTGTCAAGAATAGATTGGAAGGCTGGGGATTTAGCTCAGTGGTTCCAGCACCTGCCTCGCAAGTGCAAGGTCCTGAGTTTCATCCCTGGTACAAAAAAAAAAAAAAACAAAACAAAAAACTGAAGAGAGGCAAGGATGGACTTGAAGAGACCAGTTAGTATTATAGTGATCCTGACAAGAGACAGTAACTTGCACCAGGGTTGTAGCAAGGTGGTCGATGAACACTGGTAAAATTCTGGATATGCTCTAAAGGTAGAATAACAGAAATTCCTAATGGATTGGTCTTGGGATATATGTAACAGAAGTTTAAAGAAAGGCTTTGAAGTGAAAAACCAGAGTCTCTATCAGTTGAGATGAGAATGGTTTTAGGTGGAGCAGGTTTGGAAAGATCAGAAATTGAATTTTTGATTTGTTGAATTTGAGATACTTATTAGACCTACAGATAGAGATGTCCAGTAAGCAATTGGACTTATGAGCTGAGTTAAAGAGTCAAGATGGAGCTGAAGAAAAGGATTTAAGAGTAGTTGACATAACTTAAAGCTGGAAGACTGGATGACTCCCAAGGGGGTGAATATAAACAGAGAATGAAGAAGTCAACACTAAACCTTGGCTCTTCAACACTGAGAGACCAGAGAGAAGGGCCAGCAAAGGAGACAAATAAGGATCAACCAGAGAGGTGGAGGAACACCAAAGGAAGACCGTGTTCTGGGAGCCAAGTGAAGAAAGTGTATGGAGGTGGAGAAAGGGATCAAATGTGTCAACTGCTCTGAAAGGTAAGGACAGAGAATTGACATTTCTCTGTGATTTACAGGAGTTGGGCTATAACAGAATCCTGTGGTCTAGGTGGCCAACACTGCCATCAACTTATCATGAAATAAATCTCTGACTCGGACACTAATGGGGATTTGGTAGTGGAAAGATGCTTCTGGGATGTTTATTTAGCAGTCAGGAGATCCAGAATCTAGTCTCAGATCTGCCAGCACAAACAGCTCATGACTTTGGGCAACTTGTTTATTCTTTCCTTAAATATATGATATGGCTAAAAATATGTATGCTACCTACTTTGCAGGATCTCTGTATAGATCAAATAAGAATATCTAAGTATAGATCTATGTATATGGGTTTGAAAATTTTTGAGCTTGATATTAATAATGGAAAAAGATATGCTCTTATTTATAATTCAAGAATGGATTGATATTTAATAGAGGATGACCTTTTTAATATCACAGACTTAAATTCTAAGATCTTTTATTTTTTCTTTAAAAAAGTTTTTAGTATCACATATTAATTGTACATACTAATGGAGTTTAGTGTGTTATTTCCCTGCATGCATATAGTGTGCATTGATCAAATACAACCTGTCCTTTCCCATTTGCCCCAAACTTCCCAATCTCTAGTAATCACTATCACACTTTTTGGCTGACTTTTTAAGCTTCCACATGTAAGAAAAAACATGTGGAAATTTTTTTAATGTATCTAGCTTATTTCATTTAACATAATGTCCTCCAGTTCCATCAATTTTGCTGCAGATGACAGAATCTTTTTTATGGCTGAGTAATACTCCATAATGTATATATAGCATAATTTTCTTTATCCATACATTTGCTGGTGGATACCTAGGCTATTTCCATATCTTAGCTATTGTGAATAGTATTGGAATATACATGGGAATGCAGGTTATCTTTTTTGTATGCTGCTGGTTTCATTTTCTTTGGACGTATACCTCAAAATGGGATAGCTGTATCACATGGTGTATCTATTTTTAGTTTTTTGACGATCCTCTATGCTTTTCTTCATAATGGCTGTACTACTTTACATTCCTACCAACAGTGTATAAGAGTTCATTCTTCTCCACATCCTCACCAGAATTTGTTATTTTTTGTTTTTTGATAATAGCTATTCTAACTGGGGTGAGATGGTACAGTATTTCATCATAGTTTTGATTTGCATTTCCTTGATAGCTAATGATACTGATTATTTTTTATGTATTTGATTACCATTTATATTTCTTTTGAGAAGTAACTATTCAGACTATTTGCTCATTTTTCAATTGGATTACTTGTTTTTAGTTTTTTGAATTCCTAATGTATTCTGAATATTAACCCTATGACCAATAAATAATTGGCAAACATTTTGCACCTTTCTGTAGAGGTTGTCTCTTCACTCTGTTGATTAATTCCTTTCCTGTGCAGATTTTTAAGTTGATAGAATTTCACTTGTCAATTTTTGCTTTTTTTTCTTGTGGTTTTGGATTTGTATCCAGAAAATCATTGCCTTTACCAATGTCTTGAAACTACTAGTAGCTTCACAGTTTTATCCATCGTGACTTGATTTTTATACCCAGAGATAATGTTCAAGTTTTAGTCTTCTGCATGTGGATATTCAGATTGCCTAGCATCATTTATTGCATTGGCTATTCTTTTTCCAACATATGTTTTTGGCACCTTTGTAAGAATAGTTGGCTGTAGAAGCATGGGTTTATTTTTAGGATTTCTATTCTGTTCTTTGGGTTTATGTGTCTGTTGTTATGCCAATACCATGCAGTTTTGATTACTGTGACTCTGTAGTGTGTCTTGAAATTAGGTATTGTGATGCTTCTGGCTTTATTCTTTTTGCTCAAGATTGCTTTGACTATTCAGTGTCTTTTGTGCTTCCCTATAAATTATAGTTTTATTTTTTCTAGAATTATTTATTATTATTTTAAAATTATATTATTTTTTATTTTCTAGTATTATTTTTTCCTCTGAAGAATGTAATTGATATTCTCATGGGAATTGCATTGACTCTGGAGACCGCTTTGGGTAGTATGGACATTTTAACAGTATTCTTCTAATCTATGAACATTTTGTATATTTTATATTTTCTTCAATTCTTTCATCAATGCTTTTTAATTTTCATCAGACAGGTCTTTCACTTCTTTGGCTAAGTTTATCCCCAGGTATTTCATTTTTTGTAGCTATTATGAATGGGATTGATTTCATGATTTCTTACTCAGAAAATTTATTACTCTGTAGAAAAGCTAATGATTTTTGCTTGTTGATTTTATATCTTGCTACTTTACTGAATTTACTTAATTTATTCATGGTAGGGTCTTTAGCTTTTCTATATATAGAATTATATCATTTAAATGGATAATTTGACTTCTTCCTTTCCTGTTTATATGCCTTTTATTTATTTTTTTCCTTGGTTACTCTGGTTAAACTTCTAGTAGTATACTAAGAGCACTGAAAGAAGACACTTTTGTTTTGTTCCTGATCTTAGAGGAAATACTTTCCACTTTCTCCCATTCAATATGATGTAGGCTGTGGGTTTGTCATATACAGCCTTTATTATGTTGAAGTATGACCTTTCTATACCTAATTTGTTCAGGG